CAAGTGGGGCTCCAGAGGGTCGGGGCCTCAGTTGGCTTGGCGCTCCATCATCTCTGCTGATGGCCGTGCCAGATACCCTGCGCTTAGGACGGTCCATCGAGTGGCTGGCGGCCCCAGTGGCGTGCCTTGGTGCTCGCGCGGCAGGGAGGCGGCCTCCGCCAGTCTGCCGCTGCGGGCCAGCTGCTGGTCGAGCCGCTGGCGCGCATCACCGAGCACGTCGGCTCCCGAGCCCCACTGTTGGCTCGCGCGGCCCGGTTGGCCCGCGCCTCAGGCCAGTCCATGGACGATCTGTGCGATTTCGAGGCTGAGGTGCGGGAAGGGCTCGAGGAGGCCAAGAAGCTGGTCGCCAAGCGGTCCAGGTCTGCTTGGTCTGCCTGATTCCACGTCGGCATCGATGCGAGGCCCAGAAGAATGCATCAGATTGTCAGGGTTCCCAGCCCCTGGAATCCCACGGCCACGCTCAGTGCTAAAAGCTGTACGCTGTCAGATCCCTTGTCATTGCTCAAGGCTGAAGGCGATCGCTTTTCGAAGCCGTGGGGATCTGGGTCAATGGCCTTCCCGTCTGGTCAGATACTGGAAGCTCTCCCCATGTTGTCGGTCGATGACATTCGTGGGGTTGCCAAGAAGTGCCGCAAGGAGTCCACTGTGTCTCTTGGCGGCTTTCACTGTCGCCACTTGCGCTCCTGGGAGATCCTTGATTTGAGTGTTTCAGCATCGTGGTTTTCTTGATGGAGTCTCTTGGGTGTCTTCCCCCTCAGATGTTTGTCTCGATGCTGGCGTTGCTCTCGAAGCCCAGTGGTGGCTACAGGCCGATTGGGGTTTTCTGCTCCTGGTACACGGTTTGGGGCCGTCTTAGACGGCCGCTCGCACTGAGCCGGGAGCAGGATCACCCCGGGAGGTACTGGGCTGCTGGTAGGCATCGAGGAGCTGCGGATGTGGTTTGGAGGCAGGCCGTGCGGCTGAGTCTGGAGTGACTGACGACCACAGCAGCTGCTCCATCTGTTCGACCTTCGTAAGCTTGATGAAAACATTGATTTGGGTGAATTGCAAGCTCGTTGCGTTCGTTACAGCTTTCCCCTCGCTCTTGCCAGGCTCACCCCTTCGCCTACAAGCGTAGCCGCTTCCTCCGTATGGGAGGATGGATTGGGGGCCTTTACGTTGTGTGGAAAGGGGTGATAGCGGGCTGTTCCATGGCCACTATCTTCATCCGAGCTCACGGCATGGAAGGTTATGACCGCTTAACTCCCCAGCCCTCTCTGGACTTGGATGTCTACATAGACGACCAAGGCCTTTCATGTTGTGGCCCCCCCAAGAAGGTAACTTCCTGTATTGTGTCGGGGGCCCGTGAGCTTCACTCGGTCGTCGAGGGTCTTGGGCTGTAATTGCGCTTCCGACAGAACGTGCATTGCTTCCTCGTCGAAGTTCGTTGGTGAGCAGGTTCCGGATCTGTATGACAGCCTTTTCCCTTCTGCTGCCAACTTCGGAGTGGATTACACGAATGGCCGCGCCCTCAGATGTCAAGGGAGGAGCGTTACGCTCAAGTCGAGGATCGCCGCTGCCAGTCACAAGGCCAAGCGCCTTGGTCGACAGAATAAGATGCTCAAGAGAGGCACCGTCATCAAGTTTTTTTTCTGCGGGGCCTCTTGCTGGAGCCAGCTACGGGAGAGATCACGGGGACGTCGGACAGGGATGTCCTCTCTCTCTCTCTCTCTCTCTCTCTTCGCAGACAGCCATTTAGCACGGTTCGCCCTACTTCGAAGCTTCGCTCGCTCACCACCCCTGCCACCCTTGACGAGGACCCCTGCTGACGTCTTGCGTGTTCCCCTATTGTCAGCTGGTCTGAGGAGATGTGGCTGGCACAGACGGCAGCCCCTCAATGGTCTCTCAAGCTTCCTGAGCTCAAGCGCGCCTGGGGTGGCTGTCTTCAGCCTTGAGGCCTGCTCCTGGCGTGCCGTCTCAGGGCCTGTGTCGGCCATGCGCATGTCGCTCTCCAGGCTCGGCTGGGTGATGTCTGATTGTATGACCATCTGAGCGTGGTTTCTCGATTCCCCTCGGCATTTGATCCCCCTCCCTCGTCAGAAAGCTGTCTCGAGAAGCGTACATGAGGATGTTGGAAAGGGAGCCTGTTGCTAAGAGAGGAGTCAAGAATCGCATCGGCTATGACATCGTCAAAGAAGCCATGGCGCGCAATACGCTTTCCCCCCGGAGAGAGGTAGGATTCGGTCTTTCGCCACGGATACCTTTCCCACTCGAGAGCGTGCGTTCAGGTTGGGATCTCAGATCGAGGTCGCCTGCCCTCATTGCGGGCAGCTTGACTCTGTCTTTCCACGCCTATGGACTTGCTCCCTGCATGAGGCTGTGCTGGTCAGGGAGTCGGAGGTGAAACAAGCTGTTATTCAGGTGGCTTCGGAGGCTGAAGCTTCTGGGAGTGATCTCTTCCCCTTCTCTACTGGAGCGTTCGCTCATCTCGCCGACTCGCACCCCAGGCCCTGCACGGAGGCAGACGATGGTCCGATGATCCACTGGCATGTTCAGGATCTGGTGTCGCCCGACTGTGAGCCTCTCTTCGGGGCCCCCTGTTCACGGCTGGGTCGTGTTCGAGACACCCCGTCCGGGAGCTGAGCAGAGCTGGCACGTGCATTGCGATGGTCAGTGACTCTGGGTCGCCTCTGGCTGAGTTTCGGGCGCCTGCTTGGGCCACATGCCCTCAGACCCCTCAGCGTGCTGAGTTCTCGGATTCCACGCGGTCTCACCTCCCTGCAGTTCCCGAGCACTCCTCTGCCCTGTCTAGCTTGTGCCAACGTGGTGCATCAGGCTGCGCTGCTGGAGGAGATGCTCTCAGGTAAGCGCATGTACCCGGGTGCTGTTCTTCCATGCTGTTCCTCTTCCTCCTCGTTGCTTCCTTGTGGAAGGTTGCTGCTCACAAGAATGCCGAGGAGGCTGGTCTTGACAGCCATGAGAAGTGGAGGAGAGTGGGTAACGCGCACGTGGATGCTGACGCTAAGCACGCTGTTGACCTCCACCCCTTGGATTAAGACCAGCTTGAGGCCATAGACAGACTTGTCCACATCCCCAGAAGCACAGTGCGCCTTGCTGCGCGCATCTTGGAGTTCTGGGCACCTTTGGATCTGTCGCAGGCGGTTCTGGTTAAGGCGCCCCCTGTTGGGCAAGGTCCGTCGCTCAGATGGCGACAATGGGCTGGTGTTTGGAGATGTGAGGCTTGCCTGAAGGGCAAACGCTCTGTTTCCCTGCCTGCTCCCGGGCGGTGCCCAGGTACCAGCAAGCTTCACGCCAGCAGGCTAGATGTTTTAGGGCACTGCGTCATCGCCTTCGATTGCGACGACAACAGCGTCCTCTTTATTTGTGTGAAGTGCTACTGCCATTCCAGCGGTGCAAGTGTCCCAGGAATTGCGTCCCCTTGCTCTGCGCCCACGAGGGCGATGAGGGAGGGCTGGCTCACGCTGTGCAAGCACAGCGTTCACCCCTATTACAGCAAGAAGGGGGTGAAGGTGAGCACTGACGGTTTGACTCAGTGTTTCAATTCTTGATTTTGTTTGGTGGAGCTGGCGACCCCCACCGCCGCTAGCTGCAGGGCCTTTGGTAGAGCAGGGCGTTGAGAAACCTTCCAACGCCTCTGTCGGCTATCTCTTCCCTTGCTCTGTCAGCGATGCCGGGGTTGCCCCGAGCCCGCCTGCTTCTCCGTCTTGCTTTGTTTCGGCGGAACAGGCAAACCCGCAAGCTATTTGCATTTCTTTGCGCGGCACTGATCTGCATCCAGCTCCACGCCGCGCGCCGCCGCAGCAGCGCGGCAGCGTTTCAGCACTCTTTCCTGCCTCGCGCCCACGAGGGCGACTAGGAAGGGCTGGCTCACCCTACGTATGCAAGCGCAGCGCCCACCCCCTTTACAGCCAGTAGACTCCTCCTCCTCCTCCGTTTCCTCCTCCTCCTCCTCCTCCTCCTCCTCCTCCTCCTCGTCCTCCTCCTCCTCCTCCTCCTTCCTCCTCCTCCTCCTCTCTACCTCCTCCTCCTCCTCCTCCTCCTCCTCCTCCTCCTCCTCCTCCCTCCTCCTCCTCCTCCTCCTCCTCCTCCTCCTCCTCCTCCTCCTCCTCCTCCTCCTCCTCCTCCTCTCCCCCTCCCCCCCCCCGACGGATGGACTCCGTGGTTCTCTTCTTGGCTTGCCTGGTCCAGCTGGCGTCCCCCCACCGCCGCCAGCTGCAGGGCCTTTTGGTGGAGCAGGGCCGTCGAGTCCGGACAACACAATCGCCTGCTCAGGCCCTGCTCCGTCGCGCCGCGCACACGGGCTGGAGAAGCGCGCTCAGCACAGCCTGCACCGGAGGGAGGGGGGAAAGGGGGGGGAAAGGGAAGCTGGGTGCGCTCGCGCCATCTCTGACATCCCATCCCTCCCCACCAGTCCATTCCCACTGCGCTGATTTGGTCTGTATCCGCGAACATGTGTCAAAGCCGACCTGGAACTCCAAGAAAAGACCCCTATCGTGCTGGGTGAGCGGGAGGATGAACAGCAGGACAAGGAGAGGATGAGGAAGAAGGATGAGAACGACAAGGACGAACAGCAGCAGCGGGGGGAGAGGGGGACGGGAGGGAGGGAATATAAGGAGCGCTGGGGACCCAGCGACGACCCAGGAAAACGGCAGAAACCCTGGGCGGTCATTGAACCTGGGCCGCCCTACACAACACAACACACCACAAAACGGACCGCACAAGCGAAGACCCGCACGCCCCCCTCTCAGCTGCTGCGAACTTCTTTAAGCATTCCTGGGATGAATCTGCTTTAGGTTTACAACGTTGTTTTCTCACAAAGCTTTCCGATGACCTTGAACGGCAGGCCATTGGAGCTGGGGCTTTGAACTGCTTACCCCCCCGGGTAACCTCCTCGTTGAAGAGCAGTCGTGGACGGCCCGACCGACCCGACCCTGCTTCTCCTCCTTCCCCTCCATCGTGGAGACACGCTGGGAGAGGCTTGGCGGTGTGCCCCACGGCACTGTCATGGGGTGGTCGCGCAGCGACCGCCACGCCAGGGACATGTCCTCGACGTCGCTGCGGAGCAAGCCTGCCACCTGACGGGACGAGGAGGAAGGTCAGAAGGAGAAAGAGAAGCAGATGACGGACTCGCCATGGCGCCAGGATGCCTAAATTCGGGCATACGCTAACATGAACTCGGGATCTGTGGATTTGGCGCGTGAGCGCTAGATCCCTGGATCGGGGAAGTACCCCTGGAACCAGAAGGCCAATGCGTCTGGTTTGGCGACGGATCGCGCCGTATCTGTACGGAAGTGGACTCGTCGCTAATCCATGCGCCGTAATCCATATCGGCGCTTCCTTGACAGAAGACAACTTCAGACTTCACCAAGGCACTGGCTGCCCCCGAACAGGGAGGACCACGCAGACTGCGCAGTGACGGGTTGGAAAAGCTTTGCGCTACGGTCGCTACAGCAGAGGAAAGGCCAGGCCACGAGGGGGGGGGGTCAGGCGGGAACCCACAGGAGTCCATCATCAAAAAGCGAGGCGATGAGACAGGAGGACCAGACAACACAAATTGAGCTTCTCAAGGCGACGCAGCTGTAGGTGCCCCCGCCAGGAACTGCCCGAAGACGGCAGGAGAGACCAGCCGATGCGAGAAAAACGCATCGGATCTCGTCCTGTCACGCGCCAACTTCAGCAGACGCAGCCGGAGCTCGCCCCGAGAAGGACTATCGCCTGGATCTCTGGAGCACGGCCAATCCGGCCAACACGCCCAAAGACGAATTGCGACACGTCGCTCATTTCTAGTCGTCCTCAGTTCTAAGTGTGCTCGTTTCCAGTTGCTCCCGGCCCCCTAGTGGCCAGGAAGAGGCCCAGGACAGAGCCATTAGAACCGAAAGGAAGGATCTTGGCCAACAGAAAGTCAAAGAACCTTCGAAGCATAAGAAGTGCACAGGGCGTAAGCACTCGTCCGTCGTGGTACCCCCCCAGGCAAGCCAGAAAGAGGGGGTGGGGTGCGCCCCGTGGCCCGAGGCATGTGCGCGGGCGAGGGGGGGGGGACCCAGGGGGGACGCGGCCGAAAGACGAGAGGGGGCGCAGGGCCACTGAGCTTCCAAGTCGGGCGTGCCCCATCCACAGGAGGAAGATCACAGAAGCAGTCGTCAAACAAAAATGGTCTGGGGGCGATGCTTCGATGACTGCTGGCCACGTGTGCAGCGGTTTGATGATTTTTGTTCCGGATTCCTCCTCCAACATCCGCCTGCGGGGGGACAGGCCCGACCCAACACTGAGCGCCAGCGTGTCGAAGAAGGCGCCCAGCGGCGGGGCCCGAGCAAGCTGCACGCAGCAGATTCCGGACCCCCCCCCCCCGTTCCTCCTCCTTCTCCTCCTCCTCCTCCTCCCTCTCCTCCTCCTCCTCCTCCTCCTCCTCCTCCTCCTCCTCCTCCTCCTCCTCCTCCTCCTCCTCCTCCTCCCCTCCCCTCTCGCCCGGCTAAGCCTTGGACACCCCCGAGGGGACGGGCTCTGCGACGGCCTCCTCCAGGCGCCCGCCCGCTCCAGCTGCTCCCCCTGGGGCGCGTGCTGGCCGGCAGCTCGGGGCGAGCCCAGCGGTGGCGACGAGGGCGTCCCCTGAGGCCCGAGGAGGCGAAAGCGAAGCTGTGGTCGCGGCATGGCTGCCTTTCCTCCTCCGACTTTTCGACGCCCGATCTGGGCACGGAAACCGTGGGCGCGATGCACAGCAACGCATGCTGTCCAAAGCCCAACAGGCGTTGCAACAAAATCTGCGCACTGCGCTTGGGCCGCCATGTGCCACCAGCAGGCGGACAAGCACAGCATCCGCTACCGTGCCTCCGAGCACGGAGTGGGCGTGCCCTCAGGCCCGAGGAATCTCTCGGGGGGACCGGACCCCACACTACCAAATCTGGCGGGGCTCCCGGCGTGCCCCCTGGGCTCCAGCACGCCTTCTCGCATGACACTCCAGGGCCCAGGAGGGCCCCAGGACGGGCCAAGAGTGCCCCAAGCAGCCTCCGGGACGGCCCAAGACGGCCCAAGAGGGCCCCGAGTCGCCAAAAGATCGCCCCAAGACGCGCAAGATGGCCTCCAGACGGCCCAAGAGGCCTCCAAGACAGCCCAAGGCCTCCCAAGAGAAAATCGCAAAATTGACGAAGGATTTCAGAGATAATGGTCTTCTCGCCTTTTCGGTTCCCCGACGCTCCAAGACGGCTCAAGAGGCTCCCAAGACCGTTCCATGACGACCCAGGAGGCCTCCAAGAGGGTCCGGAGACGGCCCCAGATGGCCCCAAGACGGCCCCAGAGGCGCCCAAAGACGGCCCAAGAGGGCTCTAAGGCGGCCCTAAGAGGGGCCCAAGAAGGAGACCACGAACTGAAAATCCGAGCCTCCCGCCCCAAGAGGCCACCAGGAGGCCCCGAGGGACGCCCAGGAGGCCCCAAGAGGCCCCAAGAGGCCCCCAAGAGCCCCCAAGAGGCCCCGGAACTGCCCCCAAGAGGCCCCAAAACGGCCCCCGAGAGGCCTTCAAACTGCCTTCACGAGGCCCCCCAGAGGCCTCCCACGAGATCCCAACGAACATCCAATAGGCTTCATACCCACAACCCAGGCACGGTATCGGGATAGGCCGGAGGCCATCAGATAACACCGTGGACCTGTTCCTGGCCCCGACCATCGCGTTCCTGCCGATGGCAGGAGGAGGAGGAGGAGGAGGAGGAGAAGGAGGAGGAGGAGGAAGAGAATGGGGAGGGGGAGGGGGACTCCCCTCCCCTGGGGGAGGGGAGGGGAGGGGAGAGGGAGGAGGAGGAGGACAGGAGGAGGAGGAGGAGGAAGAGGAGGAGGAGGAGGAGGAGGAGGAGGGGGAGGGGGAGGGGAGGGGAGGGGGAGGAGGAGGAGGAGGGGAGCAGAAGGGAGGAGGAGGAGGAGGGGGAGGGGGAGGAGAGGAGGGGGGAGCAGAAGGAGGAGGAGGAGGGGAGGAGGAGGAGGAGGAGCAGGAGCAGGAGGAGAAGGGGGGGGGGGGGGGCGAGGCTGGGCGCCTCCTCCAGACGCCCCGCCAGCTCGGGCGCCCCCGCGGCTGGAGGCCCGGCCCGCAGCGCCGCGGCGACTTCGCCCAAGCGCCGCGCCTCCTCCACGGCCTCGCTGGAGGGTGGCCCTCCCCGGTCGCCCTCCCCCACGAGGTTGGGCGCCCGAGTTATCCGGGGTAACTCGGGTCCGGGGTAACTCGGGTTTGGATTCCCGAAAAAGGAACCCGAGTTATCCCTGACCCGAGTTACCCCTGATGATTCGGGGCTCTGATCCCCCACGAGGGTCGACGACATTCGATAGGGGGCTCCTGGAGTCGGACTTCACTGGACAGGACACGCGAGAGGACAAAAGACCCTTCCGGGGGCCATATTGCCATAGGAATGCAGGAGGCACGGGTCGCGAGACACAGGACACGGCACGGGTCGCGAGACACAGGACACAAAGGTACCCTTGAAAATGGCAGGGTCGACCTACTAATCCGGGCCGACTGTATGGGGGCTCCGCCTTCCCCCACGCTTCAAGGCTCAGGCGCACTTCGCTGGCTTAGGCCGGTGCTCCAGCCCCACACGTGTGGATTGGTGAGTGCGTACTTGAGATCCGGCACCGTGCCCCTGTGGCACGAAGTGGAGTGCCCCGAGTCCCTTGCTCAAGCCCTGAGCCTCGGTCCTCAATGTGAGGATTCCTGTAAGGGGCCTGGACCCCAGCTCTCAAAAATGTTCTGTGGTTTACCGCGGTTCCCTTGGGGCTCCCAAAATCTTCCCGCATGATCTGTTCGGCCCCAAGAGGGCCCCAAGACGGGCCGACAGGGCCCCGAATCGCCGAACAATCGGTCCAAGACTGCAATGGTGGCCTCCAATCGGCCGCAAAAGCGCACAAGACGCCCAAAGAGGCCTCCAAGAGCAGCACCACCAGGGCCTCGAGAGACCGAAATCATTGATTCCCAAAAAGTTGTTGAAGGATTGTGGCGTTCTCCCCTGTTCGGCTTCCCGACGCTCCAAGAAGGCCCAAGAGGCCTCCAAGAGGGCACTCGAATGGTACAAGAGAGCGCCGAGACGGCCCAAGAGGCCTCCAAGACGACCCAAGAGGAACCCAAGACGACTCGAAGATGCAACTGTTGGCAAGTTGCTGCGCAAGTGCGCGCGGCGCTAAAGCGATGCCAGCCTTGTAAACCACCCGCCTTTCGTCCGTGTGGCCGCTGCGAATTCTGAGCCTCAGAACTATGAATGGCGAGGATGTCTCGGGCGAAACACCCCGCCTGCCCTCCTGGCACGTCCCGAGGTGCGACGAGGAGGAGGGGGGCAGCTCGAAGGAAAAGAGACGACGGGGCAAGGGAAATGAGCCAGAGGACGGCATGGGACGCAGAAGGGCCTGGGAGGACGAGAAGGCCGACGCGCTCCATCCATCTGGAGCTCCCCCTCGCCCTCCTTTTGACGTTACGTGTACCGACGTTGATCGAAGCGATCGCCGCGTCTGAACGCTCGTGCTGAGAAGAAGAGCACAAAGGCACATGCGCAAGCACAACATACGAGTATCTATGCGAGCAGCGCGTGCGCAAGAAGGACTGGAAGGGCAGCGACAGGCGGGACAGTGGAGAAGCCCGCCAAGGAGTGGAGAAACGCGCAACGGAACGGATTCCCGACACCCCCACCAACGCACCTCATCCTCAGTACGGCAGCTTCGTGTCGGGACCGCCCCAGCGTTGGTTCCTGACATCGCGGGGATCGCTCCACCTTGAACAATCCGCTGTTTCTGAAACGTGAGACGGGGGGAGAGAGGAGGAGGAGGAGGAGGAGGAGGAGGAGGAGGAGGAGGAGGAGGAGAGGAGGAGGAGGAGGAGGAAGAGGAGGAGGAGGAGGAACGGAAGGAGGAGAGAGGAGGAGGAGGAGGAGGAGGAGGAGGAGGAGGAGGAGGAGGAGGAGGGAGGAGGAGAGTGAGATCTCTCAGCATCGACTGATCCTGGGTCGCCCGCGCGCTCAACGTTGGAAGCCGGCGGCGGTTGCCGCGGGTCGCCCGACGCGAACCTACCGTATCCCTCCTCCTCCTCCTCCTCCTCCTCCTCCTCCTCGCCTCCCCTCCTCCTCGGCCTCCTCCTCCCTTTCCTCTTCCTCCTCCTCCTCCTCCTCCTCCTCCTCCTCTTCCTCCTCGTCCTCGTCCCGTCCTCCTCTCCTCTCCTCCTCCTCCTCCTCCTCCTCCTCCTACCCCTAAGCCTCAGCGAGAGTGACGCCCAGCTGCACCTCCAAGGCGTCCCCGTCGGAATCCTCGTCCCCGCTCTGGGTGGGCGCCGCGCGGGGTTGCGCACGGCCTTGGCGAGGGAGCCAGAGAGCAGGCGGCAGGGGGGGGGAGGGGGGCGCGGAGGAAGAGGAGGAGGAGGAGGAGGAGGAGGAGGAGGAGGAGGAGGAGGAGGAGGAGGAGGAGGAGGAGGGAGGAGGAGGAGGAGGAGGAGGAGGAGGAGGAGGAGGAGGGGGGGATCGCGGAGGAGTAATGGGAGGACGTGGAGGAGAGGAGGAGGAGGAGGAGGAGGAGGAGGAGGCAGAGGAGGAGGAAAAGTAATGTACTGTGCTCACGTGGTCTTGGCAACTTCGACTGCTTGAATGTGAACGCGCGACACTGGATAAATATTATTCCAGTGCGACCCTACCTAGGAGTTGGAGCCCCTAGGAAATCAGCATTAGTAGTAACAGTAAAGCTAAGCTGAAGCTAAGCTAACACAAAGCTAACACTAAGCTAACATTAAGCTAAAGCTAAGCTAACGCTAAGCTACAACTAAGCTAAATCTAAGCTACACCTAAGCTAGAGCTAAGCTACAGCTAAGCTACAGCGAAGCTAAATATAAGCTACATCTAAGCTAACGCTAAGGCTACGCTACAGCTAAGCTAAAGCTAGGATACAGCTAAACTAAAGCTATGCTAAAGCTAAGCTAAAGCTAAGCTAAAGCTCAGCTAGAGCTCAGCTATAGCTAAGCTAACGCTAAGCTAAAGCTACGCTAAAGCTACAGCTAAAGTTAAGCTAAAGCTGAGCCACAACTAAGCTAAAGCTAAGCTAAAGCTAAAGCTAAAGCTAAAGCTCAAGCTAAAGCTAAAGCTAAAGCTCCCAGGGGACTGGGGGAACCGCGGGGCGGATCCTGGGGGAACCGCCCGGGGCGAGCCCCACTGCCTGGCCCCTTTAAGCTCAGAGAGTAAGAACCCTTCTAGGCAGAGCCTAGGTAGGGAATGAAGATCTCGTTGTAACAAATGCCGCTGCCTTTAGAGAGGTCGGCACGGGATGAGAATGAAAGATAGAGATGTACGATGCTGTCGTGACCCAGGCAACTCCTACTCCCAAGAAGTTGGCACCGGATAGCCAGCGTGCCCGCTTCCACCAAGCAACAAATCAGCCTCGGCGGCGCACCCGGGGGGAAGTGAGAAAGAGAAGTCCTTCTCAGAAAGCTCGGAACTCCCTCTGCCTTCTGAGAAGTTCTCTAAGCCTTCCCGGAAGAACCAGAAAACCTCTAAGAATGCACGAGGGCTTCTGGGAAGCCCCGCCGCCTTCTGAGAAGGCCTTCTCCTCCTCACGTCCCTATCGCTCGCCGCCGACATCCTCTGGACCTCCAGCCTCCCCCACCGAGGCTGCGAGGGCTTCACAAGAGAGGCACCTGGGAGCCGTGAAAACAGGCAAGCATGCAGGTGAATATCCCCACGCCCCACATGACCCTGCACATAAATCCACCGCGCGAGGCGAAGGAGAGGGGAGCCAGGGGGAGGGGAAGGAGAAAGAGGAAGGGGACAAGAGGATACGAAAACCACCTGCAATGGTACCGCCACAAGCCCGGCAGGCCTGAGGCCCGGGGGCGCGGCTGGCGGCGGAGCGCAACGACGACTGACACACAAGAGTGAGACCGAGGGGCTGGCCAGGCCCACTCGAGAAACGACCAAAGCGCGGAACTGGGGGAGGAAAGGAAGAGGAGGAGCAGGGAAGGGGGCAAGAAACAAAACGCACGCTGTTGGATCGAGGCCCACGAGAAAAAACGAGGGGCTGACCAGGCCCACGAGAAAAAAACGACCAAAGCACGGAACTCGGGGGAGGGAAGGAAAAAGAGGAGGAGCAGGGAGGGGGGCAAGAAACAAAACGCCAGCTGTTGGATCGAGGCCTCCTGGGAGCAGGTTGGGCGAGGCGCTGGGAGCGCGGGTGGCCCAAGACCGCTGCACGAATAGTTCCGCGGAAGGCGGCGGCACAGTCGCCGCCGGGGAGCCCGCATCGCCAAGCGCTGTGGACCCTGAAGAGAGCTTATATATACTCCGATCGTGCGCAAGACGGCCTCGGCAGCGGTGGCCGCGGCCGACCTGCAGTGCGCTGGGAGAGAGTTCACAGAAGGGAGGAGACCCCGAGAACATCACCCAGGCAGAACTCCACCGGGGGGCTGGTGAGATCCAGGCGCCTCCGACAAAGGGGGCGACATTTGATCCCAAAAGCGAAAGGTTCTATGCTGCCCCCTCCGCGGCTGCAACGAAAGGCGGCTGGACTCGGCGCGCGGCGCACCGGCCGTTCCAGGCGGTGCGGCTCTGGCACGCCCGGACACGAAGAGGGAGGAGAGGGGCGGGCAGCGAGGGAGAGAGTGGAACCGAGGGAGCGAGGGAAAGCGAGGGAAAGCGAGGGAGCGAGGGAAAGCGAGTGAGAGGGGCAGGCAGCGAGGGAGAGGGTGAAACCAGGCTACCGGGCGGTGCCCAGGAAGGGCAGGGGGCCGCCATCGGTCCCGACGCCTCCTGACGCGCGCGGCCTCCGGATGACGGGCGGCGGCGCGGAAGGTTCTCGTCGCCTTGGCCTGCCATCCCCTCCCTTCTGGAGACCGGCGGGGCTCGCAGGGTCCAGGAGGTAAGGACCCGAGCGGGAAGCCTTCTCGGCCGAGGGCTGTGCGTCGGTGGCGGCCTGCAGGAGGAAAGCGGAGCAGTCCTGGACGAAGCCGTTGGAGTTGGCAGCACGAGCCTGGTTGGCCGGCGGTTGCGCGAGCCGCAGAAGGCTGCGGACGCGACGCCGGGCCCGGAGGCCCCCTTATAAGCTTTCAAAACTCGCCACCCGTGCCCGGGCAGCCATCGCCATGCTCGGGACGTTTGGCAGGTTCACGGGGAAATGGACGGAACATAAATCCTTCAACGCCTCCCGTGTGATCCAATCGGAAGGGCCACAGAATAACGCCGCGCCAGCCTGCTCCTCTGCGCGGGCGAAGTGCGGCGGCAGCGGGAGCAGCTGAGCGACGAAGAAGAGGACGGACGATATGTTGACTTGTAAGCCTGGATGGGCTGCAACATGACGATGCCCAGTTTGCTCCACTGCGAAGCCTGGCTCGCGAATTTCTTCAAAAGTTGTAGTCCAGGAAGAGCCCCCCCGTTCGGACCCGACCGCCATGCCGAGGTACCTGGCCTTCTCGGCGACGGACCAAACCCCACAGCGGAGCCCCCTGGGAGAGCTGCGCCCGAACGGCATCACGTGGCACCAGTACCACGTTGAGGACGTTCAGCTTGAGCCCCGAGATCCGCGCGTAGTCCTCGAAGACGCATTGGATGGCCCATCTGCGGCGGAACAGGTGTGCATCAACCAAAGCCGTGTCGTCGGCGCAAGCACGAACGCAAGCAGAGGGAACATGACGGCCTAGTCTACGAAGAAGAAGGTCGGAGAGTCGGAGGCCACCGCGAACAGCAAGAGCGAAAGGTGACACCCCTGGCGGATCCCGCGCTTCGGCTGGAAGCCTTCGTGGCGCGAGCCTCAGAGCAGCATGTAGCACTGGTTGCAGGTGTAGAAGCAGGTGATCAGGTTGAGCAGCCACGAGGGCCAGTTCAGCCGCCGGAAACAGTGGAATATCACGTCGTGCTCGATGGGGGAGAAGGCTGCGGCGAAGTCGAAGAAGAGGGCGACGCCCTCATCCGAATTGCAGGCGCTGGTCACCATCGCTTCCTCCACGTTTACCAAGTTTGCCAGCCAACTCGGGCCTGCAATGAAGCCCCTCTGCGTCCATGCCCTCTCTCCCCCAATGCATGTGAAGATGTATTGCCGCTCTGCTTACCGCCGACATGACTGAATCAAAACAATATTGTGATAGCGCCAACACCTGTAATTTTAACGTGTGCTCTGCGTGTTCTCGCCACGTAGCCCATTCTGCTAAGGGCCTGTGTTAGCTGCCCGAGTTTTGCAGACGAAGGTGAAACAAGAGATGATGAGTGGGAAGCGAGCACAGAAACATGAGAAGAAACATAAGCCATAAACGATGCCCTCGATTGGTACGGTCGGATCGATATCGGGGCGCGGGCGCCCACCTGAGTGCACCGCGCTCGCCGCAGCCCGAAAACGTGCGTCACAGGCCTCTCTCATGGACCTTGTTCTTCAGGGGTGGTGGCGGTGCGGCTTGCTTGATTGGTGGTCGGAGGAGGAATGCGAAAACGGACAGCCCCACTCGAGGGACTACCGCCAGAAAGGCGCAGGCTACGACACGAGGCCGCATCTGCAGTACACGCATCTCACCTCCTGGTATAACACTGGAGGGCATTTTAAATCGGCCCTGCTGCGAGCCTCCAGTGAGGGCCAACCTTGACGTGGAGTGGAGGGTTCTTATGTTGGTTGGACGTCGTCTTTGTGGATGTTGGGAGCCTTGAACGGAGGAGGAATGCGAAAGCGGACAGCCCCACTCGAGGGCCGACCGCCAGCCAGGCACACGCGTGCTGCACTGACCCTCGCTGAGGGCCTTGACGTGGGAGTGGGGTTGGGTATGGTTGGCATGAGAGGTGGGAGGGGACTACCCTGCCGATACCTGGAGGTCTCATACTCTATGCCTTCGCGGTAGGCAAGGCAAGAAGCTTCGCCACTGCTTGAATCCGCCGACCCTGTCGGCGTATAGAAGACGCTCTTCCGTTGATCGCGGTCGTTGTCGTCGAGTCGTCTCCGTCGTCTTCTCGTCGTCTCCGTCGTCGTCTCCGTATCCGTCGTCTCCTCGTCGTCTACGTCAATCTTCGTCTCCGTCGTCCCCGTCTCCATTCCCTGGGACCTCCTCCTTAAGCGCGCCAACCAAATCGACAATGAGCAACGTCGTAGCTGGGTCGAAAGGAAGCCCCTTCCCTTGATCCCCTCGCCACCAGGGGGGGGGTCCCGGGGGGTTGGGGTAGTCCCGTGGTGGGGGGGTCGCCCCCCAGATGCGCATCCCCCCGGGCGGCTCCGGGGCCCAGAAAAGCCCCAAGACGCGGCAAGCGTGCCTGCAGAGGCCCCCAAGACGGTCCTGGAGGGCCACGGATCGCCGAATTGCCGGTCCAAGACGCCGCAGCGGCCTCCAGACGGCTCAAGGAAGTTTTCAAAACGCCCCAAGAAGAGCACTCCCACGAAGGCCCTCAGGGGCAAAGATCAAGAATGTGATTCCAGTTGTTGAAAGATTGTGGCGTTCTCGCCTTGTCGCCTTCTCGACGCTCCAAGACAGCCCAAGAGGCCCCCAAGATCGCCCAAGAGGCCTCCAAGAGGGCCCCAAAGTGACCCAAGAGGGCCTCAAGAGGCCTGCAAGACAACCCAAGAGGCCCCCAAGACAGCTCCAAGAGGGTGCCCAGGCGGGAGACCTGAACGGACACTTCGAGCCCTCGGCCTGAGAGACTCCCAGGAGGCCCCCAGATGCCCCCAAGAAAACCCAAGAGGCCCCAAGAAGCTCCCAATAGACCCCGAGGAAGACGCAAGAGGCCCCTACGGGGATCCCAAGATACCCCCAAGAGCCTCCCAAGAGGCCCAAAAACTACCCCCAAGAGGCCCCTGAGAGCGCTCGTCGTCGTCGTCGTCGTCGTCGTCGTCGTCGTCGCCGCCGCCGCCGCCGCCGCCGCCGCCGCCGCCGCCACCGCGGCCGCCGCCGCCGCCGCCGCCGTGAGTGTCGTCGTCGTCGTCATCGGCGGCGTCGGCGTCGGCGTCGGCGTCGTCGACGTCTTCGTCGTCGTCAACCTCGCCGCCGCCGCCGCCGCCGTGAGTGCCGTCGTCGTCGTCGTCGTCATCGTCGTCGTTGTCGGCGTCGGCGTCAGCGTCGGCGTCGGCGTTGGCATCAGCATCGGCGCCGTCGTCGTCGTCATCGTCCTCGTCGGCGTCGGCGTCGGCGTCGGATTCGGCGTCGGCGTC